CCTATCTGCATGTTTTTGGGCAGCAGGAGGAAACCCACACAAACACAGGGAGAACATGTGAAACTCCACACAGACAGTGACCCAAGTTCAGGATCAAACCTGGGACCTTGGAGCTGTGAGCCTCTGAATAGAGTACAGGGATTTGAATTCCATCCCAGAAAATGATCATTACCTAATACTCTTAATACCTGTCTTGTTAGAACGAGTAAAAGGGCCAAGATTGTGCTCTAATTTAATTCACTTTTGTGAGGGGGACAAACTTAGAAACTATGAATAACTTGTCATGTCTTATGGTTTAGTTACTGCCCCCCTTATATATAAAATTATATATATGTGCTGGGTCTGCAAGCAACTTCTGGACAACAACTTGTAAGTCAGTCCTGTAAGTCAGTCAGTAAAGGCAGTCCTGAAGAATTGGAGTGGGAGTGCAACATTTATTCGACTTCTTGCCAGGCTTGAAGGCTGGTATCTAAAAAGATGATTCCAGCATGGTGAAATTGGGAAATTATGGTGGAAACTCATAGAGTACAGGATTCAGAACTGGTGCCAACAGAGTATACTCTTTCACTAAGACCTACATATACAATTTGGTTTGTAATCATCTTGTGCCTTTCGTGTCATATTTGTTCCCCAAAGCCCAACCCATATCCACAGTAGAGCATGTATATATTTAGATCAGTGTACAGCAGAAGGTTATGCTTCCGATTGCACCATAATTTTAAAATGATTGTGAAGATATATCAGAGTCTGACATGTTCCCCATCTGGATTTGTTTGGCAACTTGAAATAAAAAGTTCCACATTGTCCAGTAATGTCCAATATCATTCAGAAAAGTGAAATGAATACAACACTGGGTTAATAGTTATAAGGCTAGGATGTGACCTGCTCACCCTCACTCAGTATGTCTGTCTGTTTTTCATCACATTTATTTGTTTCACTTTGTGTGTTCCTCATCTTCCAAAATGACTAAGGCAGACATGTGGAATCTGGAAGAGGTATATCCTCTGAAAAACAGTATAGTGGCCACACACAGATGTTAAAACAGTTTTAGGATGTTGTGCATCACTACTTTAACCTGCTGCTCACAAATAGGGCTGCAATTCTCAAAAAAAGGAGACTTTGATCACACTGGAGAATTTAGAACAACAAATGCAGCACAGGTTTAAGATTGCCTTGTGTTACAAATATTACTAAATAGCAGTTCCTCATCATGGCTTTTGGTGCTGTAGTTTGAGAGATATCATAACAATTTGAATACTGCTTAAATTTACAGTATATAATTCCAGGAGTTCTCTGTTTATCACATGCTCTGTGTGCAGCATCAGAGTCATCTACAATCCTTATGTTCCACCCTGCTTTCCTACATCTTTTCAGTCTTCTTCCCGAGAGCTTGATCCCCATACTGCCAGCTACCACAGTCCTCTGCAGCAAAGCTCAAGGCTTCCCCTCTTCCCTATGCTGTAATTACGGTCTGGGTAACATTTCAATAGATGTGCTTACTTGAAAGCTTTTCTGTTTCTTTTTGAAATGATATACTGCCTGTCCTGTGCCCCTTAGAACTAAGAGGGTGATGAAAGGTCTGCGCCAAGAATGGCTCTCTGTCGGAGATGCACTCTGACCACAGAGAACTTTTAGCATCACTAGAGCTTCACCAATATGCAATGTTTTGAAACTCTAGCTACATCCATCTGATAGCGTTGAGGACATACATGAAGATTGCCATTTGCTTATATGACATAGTTTGAATGACTATACAGGAGATGGAAACATTTACACAATTGAAGGAGCAAGACAGTGCTCAGTGAAATACAGCTTCAGTAATATGTAACCAGAGTGTTGATTTCTGAGTTCAGTAATATTTTTGGTCCTAAAGATAATGTCTACAGCTGGCTTACTACACCTGTACTTCACATTGCACTGATCCACAAGACCAGCCAATTTAGAAAACCCTTTAGAAAACCTTTAGTGTCAACAAGCTCCAAACATAGACTCTCGGCCATGAGATTAATGTGTGCAGTGGAGGAAGAGAACAGCAGAAACCATGTTACAAAATGTTCTTCCACAAGTAGCAACAATAATATTTTGTTACCACAGATGCCAAACTTCCAAAATTACCTCAGCTTTAAGTACAGGAAAGAAAACAAAGCAGAGGATCTGTGTGGATTTTGAACAATCATCTGACAGGAATTATAAACTATAGACAGACTGCATGTCAGTTATTGGATGACTGACGGCTTGATAGTGGACATGGATAGAATATGCTCTTGCCTTAAAGTTAGAAAACTCTTCATATATGGAAGGTGTAAAGAACTGCAGGTGAAGAGATTGGAAATCAGCTTCCCAAGCTCAGATGAACTTTGTCCTTGGTTTTCAATGGTACATTTCTTGTTAATGAAACCATTTTGCAATCTTTATGCACAATATATTTGATATAGATCTAGCAGAGTTATATGATGTGTGTGGCATCCGGTTGTTTAATCTGGTTGTTTAATCCATGCAAAAAAGGAAGTAAATACTAAATTCAGTTCAGATTGTTAAATATTATTTACTGAAGAACAATGGTTTTATTTCTAAATTTTCTGCACGTGCAAGTTATTAACATCACTCTGCATTTGGTGTTAGCAGTTATATTTCCAAATAGTAAACCTACTTGCTTTTTTGTGCCAAACCAAGGTAGGCTTAAAAAACAGTAAAGCTTATACTGTATATCTTAAACATTGCTTTGAATTTAGAAGGTCTGTAAGGCCATTTACAGTCAGGTCCATAAATATTGGGACATCGACACAATTCTAACATTTTTGGCTCTATACACCACCACAATGGATTTCAAATGAAACGAACAAGATGTGCTTTAACTGCAGACTGTCAGCTTTAATTTGAGGGTATTTACATCCAAATCAGGTGAACGGTGTAGGAATTACAACAGTTTGCATATGTGCCTCCCAC